TTGGTCTGAAGCTCAGGCTTTATGCGGCTATAAAAGAGCCATTGATTGGCCTTCCTCATGTGGACCTCAGGAGCCACAGGACAGGTCCAGCACTGGGTTGGATGCTGCCCATGAAGCTGTAGTACTTGGAATATTGTTAGGATGAGAGGAGGGATGCCTAGACCCCACTTTAGATAGAGGAATTTCTTTAGCAGCATTGAACAATCCCTTCTGAACTGGGCCCTATGAAAAAAAGGAAAAATAAACATGGCTTCTGCCATTATAGTGCTCACAGTCTAAAAGAGATAAAATCTGTATGAATTTTCAGACTAAGTGGCACAAAAACAGTTTGGATGAGCGTGTACTTGCTGGCTTGGTTTTACTAGGGCGAGTTCTGTGGTTGAGAATCAGTAAGAAGGAATGAGTCTTTCTTGTTAGAAGATTTGGATTTGCTTAGACATAATTTCTCATAATGATTCAGTTCTCTTGAGAAAATAGCTAGAGACCTGTTAGAGGTTCATTTTTTCTTTGTCTTTTTGGACATGAGTGAAAATCTGTTAAATTCAAGCTGAGTTTACCCAGGGGGCCAGGCACAGTATGTGGTGGGGAAGTGCTGGGGATGGGGGAGAACTCAAGCCCACTCCCCAAAAGTGGATGGTGAAGACCTGAGGTGTATGAGAGAGATGGATCCTCTAGTGAGTACAGAATAGGGATGCTTGGGCCATGCTAGAACTGGATTACTTTCGAAACGGCGTTCAGCAATATTGCTTCTTCTCAGAAGAGAGAATGTGAAAACCAAGGTAGTGTTTCAAAAGGTGCAAAAATGTCCCTCGCTGCCCTTCTTCCCTGATGACCTCGTGGCCAGGAGCAGTTAGACTTTGTGAAAAGACAAGACCAGACTGGGAAAATATGAGTGTGTGTGTGTGGTAAGGAGGAACGAGGCAGACAAAATTTCCATTTTCATCAAAATGCTTTGCATTTGCCTAACATGATGGTGGCAGTGGAGGTTGTTGTCTGAAGAGTGACAGACTGTGAGTTCATTCATGCACATGTGTACTTTTACTCCAGAAACCAGTTGGAATTCTATTTCCACATTGGCCATTCTGCAGACTGTGCCATGGAGGTTCTGTTGGTCGCCAAGTCCCTTGAATACACTCAAATTCTTCTGTGCCATTTCCTTTTCTTTTGAAGTAGGAGAAGTCTTCACTTTTTCACATTCTTGCCTTGGTGTCTGAACAATAATTAACGACATGAGCAGACTAGTGCTGGGCTCTGTTGAACTGCCAGGCCTGTGAGGTGCTCCCTTTTTCTCTTCTGAACCTTGTGCTTTGCCCTGGTCTCTTTGCCTGGGCAGGACCTTTGTTCTTGTATTCCTTTGGGATGGCCTGGATACCACACACGGTTGGTAACCTGTGTAGGGCACTGAGTTAGTGTGTCAGGTGCAGGCCAGTGTCCCCACCCCGGGGTTTGGACAGAATAGGACACCTGTGTCTCTAGGAAATGCATGGCAGCAGAATATTTCCAAAGGAAGGCTGGTGATAAGTTCCGGAAGTTTCTTTCACTGAAAGATAGATTGCAAGTGAGGAAAGGAGGAAACTCAGGTCATCTGGATTAGAAAGTTTTGAAATGAATAGATTTCTGAGATTGGATGTCGGTTTTTGCCTGGGCTATCTTAGCTGGACTGCCTGGGTGTTGTGAGACATGACACAAGTGGAATGTGGCTCAGAGAGAATAATAGTGCACGTTAGAGGAATTCCTTGGAGGCTAGGTAAAAAGATATGAGCAAGACTTTTGAATACTAAAACTGTGGCTCCAGAAGGGACCAAAACCTTAGATATCACCCACATGACTTTATAGGTGAAAAAGTGCCGAGAGATTGTGATGGCGTGATTTGCCCAAGGTCACAAAGCAAGTTAATGGTGGAGTCAGGACAAGGATCCCGGTCTCCTGGCTGCTCATCTCACGTTCTTTCCTGTACCCTGCCACCTTTGTAGTAGAGGACAAGAGTGCATTACCTTTCACACCATCCCAGTGCAGTGGGCCAAGAAAGCCACTACCATCAATTTCCAGGCAAATCATTTGCATCTAGAAAAAAGGCAGTGGGGTTACCAGACTGTTCAGCTGGGTAAAACTGTGGAATCTGTCGGGTGGGTTAGGGATGTTTACCCTGCTGGTGGCTGCTGAAACCTGAAGAGTGGTCACTGCAGAGTCCTTTGGGAAACTAAATCCAGATGGGTGTTCATCCTCCTCTTGCTCCTGACAGCCACCCCCTGAGAGGTGGACACCCTGGGAGCTAAGAAATCACTGGTGAAGAAAAGGATAAAAATAAGACTAGTGCGCGGCATACACTGCCATCCAGTAAGTAGCCCTGACCATGAATGTGGGCAAGAGGTTCCCCTGCTGAACCGCTTGAAAATAGAGCTTTTGCCTCTCCCTGGACAATCTTTTAGAAAAGCAAACATCGGTCATGCCCTGCAAGTGACGGGCAAGTGTCATGCACGCACACACACTCATATGCCTGGGTGCATGTGGTAGTCCCCCTTATCTGTGGTTTTACCTTCCATGGTTTCAGTTACCTGCAGTCAACCATGATCTGAAAATATTAAATTTTCCCAACCATCGGCAGCGTCTGCTCCTCACATCCAACTGGCTCGATGATCCAGGGTCACCCGAAGCAGATGATCCTCCTGACATATCTTCAGAAGGTCAATAGTAGTCTAAGGCTGTGTCACAATATTTAAGTCATTCATCTCACTTCATCTCATCACGTAGGCATTGTATCATCTCACATCTTCGCAAGAGGAAGGGTAAATACAATACAATAAGATATTTTGAGAGAGAGAGAGAGAGAGAGAGAGAGAGAGAGAGCATATTCACATAACTTTAATTACAGTATATTGTTATAGTTGTTCTATTTTATTAGTTGGTTATCACTTATTATGCCTAATTCATAAATTAAACTTTATCACAGGTATGTATGTATAGGAAAAAACAGTGTATATAGGGTTCAGTACTCTATGCAGCTTCAGGCATCTCTGCGGGTCTTGGAATGTATCCCCTGCAGATAAGGCAGGGGGCCGGGTGCTACTGTGTTTAAAAACATTCTCTGCCCAGAATGCTGTTAGGACATGTCCCAGTGCCCAGCATTGTGAAATATATCTAGAGTTAAGAATGTTCAGTTAAAATGTTCTCTACTGTTACTATTTCTCAATTGAGATGCATCAGCCGTGGCCAGGAGTAAGATAACATGGGGGTGGGGTGCACTACAGTGTCACAGATGAGGGCGTGTGTGTGTGTGTGTGTGTGTGTGTGTGTGTGTGTGTGTGTGTATGATTGAGAAATCACTTGTTGTCTTTGGCAAGGAGCTAAAGGGAAAATGAGCAAACAAAACTGTGATTGAGAAAGAGCTCTGCGCCGGGGACTGGGTGTGACTGCTGTCAGAGGCCGTCCACACTGGCCACCATATGCTGTCTTCAGGCCACTGTAGCCCCGAGACTGGAGCTGAGGAGGCTCACCTGGGGGCCCGCATGGTTTGGACACACCGCTGGGTTCTCATTACGGGATTTGGAAGGCGGGGGAAGTTGGTGGCTTAGTTTAGTTGTCAGGATCTGGGCACTGAGGCCCAGATCTCGGTGCTGGTGACTTGAGTGTGTGACACTCCCTCCCACTATCCGCGTTTGTCTAATATCAGCACCAGCTACTCTCCAACCTTTTACTGTGGTCTTCACGCATCAACATTCTGACTGCCATAGAATGTTGGCTCTAAGGGGACCTGTATGCCCTCCTGCCTACCCTACCGCCCTCGACTCCTGCCCTTGGCTCCATTACCCGCCCTGTTCCCTAGGGCTAGGCCCCTGTGGAGGTGGCGGACAGAGGTGGGTGGAGGTGGGTTCTGGATCTTGCAGAGGCATGTACGGGCCTGAGAACAGGAGTGTGGGTGGGAGGAAATCAGTGCTTTGGGCCAGATGGCCCATATGTCAGCTAGTAGCTCAGAGCCTTGTGTGCACACAGGCCCTCTTCCCAGTGCTCAGCTTCCCACTAGCCCTGCTGCTTCCCTGCATCTTATCAGCTCCATTGCTGGCTCCGTACGGAGTAGTGGGTTCTGGTGAGAAAGGCCCTGGGTTGAAGGTGGGGGTCACAGCACTGTTACAGGCTGGGCCTTTCTCGTCCTGAGATGTGTGCCAAACCTATCTCACAGAATTGCAGTGATGGTAAAATGAGAGAACGTGTGTGAAAGTACTTTGGAAAGCCAAAACAATGACTACTACCTTTCGTGTACAGAACGTTATCTGGTTTCTTGAAACCTTTTCTTCTGTTTTAACCTGCTGCAAGAAATGGAGGAAAGACATCAAGCTGGGCCTTAGGGGAAGGGTGTGGGTATTGGGGAGACATTGTGGTTCTGAGAACATCTGGATGCCCTGAGAGAGAAGCATCTCATGTCCATAAAGACATCAGTTCATTAATAAGCGTATTCAGTGCCTGCTATGTACCAGGCACTGGAGTGGGAGCTGCGGGTATGAGAGGAAAGGTACCTACGCCCTCCGAAGTCTAGTAGTCTCATGGAGGAGCCAGGAGTAGGCACGGTTGCCGCACAGTGACCCCCGTGCTGTGTCGGAGGTAAGCAGAGGCCTCCATGGATAGCCTGTGCTAGTTTGACCGTGAGCATTGTGTCTGTCTGACTGTCCTGTTGCTTCTTCCTTCCTCCCTTTGAAATTGGATTTGATTTTTTATGTGTGTATATGCCAGTGAGTAAAGCAGTGAGAGGTGTCCTGTTCTTCTAGCCTCTGAACAAAACCAAGAGTAGATGCTTCCTTGGCAGGGGTCCATGGGAAAAGGGGCGCCTTAGGCTGTCTGAGGATCCAGGCTATGTCTCCATCAGTGCTCATCTCTTGCTCCCATGTTCTTCATCTCCTTTCTTCCTGTTCACCTGCTGGAGGGATGGCTGCAAAGCCCCCAGGTAGGGGTGGGCCTGCCTTCTGTCCAGAGAGCAGCAGCAACCTATCTTTTCCTTTCCCCTACAGGAAGCTGCACAGTGGGATGAAGACGTACGGGTGTGAACTCTGCGGAAAGCGGTTCCTGGATAGTTTGCGACTGAGAATGCACTTACTGGCTCATTCAGGTAGGCGAGGATGCCCTGACTGCCTCTTAGCACAGGCAACCACCTTCTTCTTGCCTTTGTCCCTACTCAGAGCTCAAGATGCTCCACTGCCAGCTGGAGTCTTGGTCCACCTTGTCCCTTGGGTGTTCCCTCCAGATTTATGGAGCAGGAAGTCCATCCTGATGGTGTGACTGTCTGGAGGGACCCATCCTCAGGCTCTCCTGGGTTTCCCAGGGCATCAAAGGCACCAGTGCCCTGTGTGATCTACCTTCCAAAGTAGACTGCGGTTTCATTAGCGAAACAGTTGTGAAATTAGGTTCTCGCTGTCTAATGAATCTGACTATTGGGTTCACATTATACCGGAGCCTTTAATTAAATAGATATAGAAAGGTTGAAACACAAAGCTAGTTACACCGTGCTGTCTTTTGCAAGTTAATTTTATCCAATTGTAGTGGGGTCGACCAGGCGGCTGCCGCTATTTTTGCTCATGTTTGGGCAAAGCTCTGCCCCATTAGGCGTGGAAAGGAGATGACACCCAGCATGCCTGGGTGTTCTCGGCGGAGGGAAAGACACAGCAGGTCTGGTGCTGCCGCTTTCAGGCCCAGGGGTTGCCTGGCTTCAGTTGTAGAGCACTCCCTGCACACACACGCGTGCGTGCGCACACACACACACACACACACACACACACACACACACACTTCCCTGCCAGGGCCTGTGCATTCTCACCTCTCATTCCCTTGTCTTTCAGCCTTGGCATCATGTCTTGGGGGAGAGGGGAGGGCTGTCTTTTTATTTGGTCTTGCTCTCCCCTCATATCATCAACTGTCAGTGTCTGCTGGTTCTTTCCCCAGATTGCCTCCAGCATCTGGCCCCCCAGGCAGTTGAGTGTTTGTGAAATGAACACAGGCTTTGGGATTGGGCAGATGAAGGTTCGAATCTTGTCTGCGATGTGTGCTAACTGTATATATGACCTTGGGCAGATTTGCCTTCTGAACCCTTTTCTGCATCTGTAAAAGTACAGGTGTTGCTCACTCATAGATCATTTTTATTTTTAGTATTAGGTGACAGAATATATGTTGAGGCGTCTGTGGTTCACTCCCTGGTGTACAGTTGATGTTTAATAAATGGCGATTGCTTCTGCTTCCACCCTCCTCTCTTTGCCCTAGTTCTGATGTTGTCACCCTGGGGCACGTTCCATTCGCTGTGCTCTAGAGCTTCCGGTCTGGCTGTCTGTCTGCAGTCTGTCCTCTCTTCATCTACCACTGTACAGTCGTGTAAATGCTGCTTGGTAGTTTCTAATGCTTCACCTTGCCGCTGCCTTGCTGCAGAGCCCGTGTGGCTCAGCACTGAACTGAATGCCCTCTCTCTCCCTGGCCTTGGTGGCTCTTCCGAAAGTGCTCTGAGCCTTGCTCGCTTCCCATTCTTCCCTTTTCAGATTGAGGGATTGGGCCACACCCGGTGGCTGTCTGTCTTGGCATGGCTGCTCTGTCCCATGTCTTCGTGTGTCCCGTTCCTCCTTCCCGTTGGGTCTCCCCACCCCACACATGGCTCCACTGACCATCCTCGTCCCATCCACCTGTCCCTGTTGGCCTGGTATCCTGAGTCCAGGTATTCCCGTGCTCAGCACCTGCTTGGTACTTATATACTCCTTTGGTTCTCTTTTTTTCCTTGCAGCTCATATCTTCTTGCTTCCCTTCAGCTTTCTATGCTGTTGAGGGTTCAGTGTGGGGTTTCGGGGTTTCATGAACTATCTGCCAACAAGGTTGGTCACCCCCCCAACCAAGTGCAGAGTGTGAGTCTTCTGTTTCACTTGCTCCCTGCTCCAGGCCCCTGCGTGGTCTCTGTGTGGTGCTGGACACTCGTGTGTGAGTAATACATTTTCAGTCTATGGCTCCAGCACCCCACCCTCTCCCTCCCTCAGCCCAGTAAGCATCCTCTCCCCTTACTCATCCCTGAGTCCAGTGCTCCAGCCAGCTCATCGACTTATTGGTCTGCTCTGTGTGCAAACCCCATCTACTCTGCGTGGAATAACCCTTCCCCAGCCTTCCCAGATCTTCAAGGTCCCTTCTGCAATGCCATCATTGCCGCTTCCCCACCTCTAACAGGAAGCAGCAGTGCCTTCTGCTGGGTACCCATATTTCTTTTATCTGAAGCATCTTTGGACATAGTCTTTGTGTTATGGTTATTTGTGGGCTTGCCCTATCTCTTCTACTTGGGAGTCAGGATTAGGAATTTGGGCACCTGCCTCCTGACCATGTGACCTTGGGCAATAAATACAAGCTCTGTGAGCCTTTCTCTGTATCCTCGTTTTTAGATGAGTATTTCACCCCACCTCGGGGAAATTGTGAGGCTCACATCAGACACTTAGCACTGTGTCTGACATGTGACAGGCACTCAGCATATGTAACTTCCTTTTCTCTCTGCTCCTCTGATAGACTGCAGGCTGCTTGGAGACAGGGTTTGTCCCCATTACATGCAGCACATTGCTTGGCACATTAGTGGAGTCTCTAGATATTGGTTGAATGAATGAGTGCAGCCTGGGAGGCCTATGGGCCACTCAGGGAAACTCCAGTCTCCTGCCAGGTCTCTTCTGTGATGGAAATTGTTTAGACTGTGCCCCAGGGGTTCACTGGGGGGCAGCCAGGAGCCCACTGGCCCTTGTTGACTGAGAGTGAGTTAGCTGCTGTCTCTGCTGAGAAGCATACTTCAGCAGTGTCTGGTGAGGCTGGTGGAAGTGGCAGAGAGCAAGGGAGCTGCTGACACACTTTCAGATGGGCTGAGAACCCCCACTTCAGACAAGATGAGTGTGATTGCACCACCCACCCCCTGACCGAAATCTACTTCAAGGGCTCACAGTCTCATAGGGATGCCCAGGCAGCTTTGGGAGCTGGGTCCCGTTTTCCTTTCCATGCCTGAAGCCTGTGCAAATGATTTGTTCCCCTGAAATTCACTTGCCAGTGCCCTTCTAAAGGAGGATTTGGTGATGGGGACGGTGTGATGGGTCATAATAGTGCTTGAATCCACCCCTGAAGATAGCTCATAGCCTGATTAGACTGGTGTTTCTAGCCTCTGCTGTTTCTTTTCACTTGTCCCTCAGACCTTTCACCCCTGTGCTGAGGATGTCTTGAAAATAAAATAGCAACAAGGGCTTAGTGAGGCTAGACCACTTCCTAAATGGTGTGCCCCCCTCTCCCCGCCCCTCCTGTTAAATAGTGAAGCCCCATGGCCTCTGGAGAAACCCGGCCTTGTGGGGAGATGGGGCTGGAGGGCTGGGCTGGTGGTGCTAGGACTTCTATCAGATCTTAGTCGCACAAAGTCAGGTTTTACATTTTCTGACTTCTCCCCCAGTTGCAGGCTGACAGAACTGTGTGATGTTTTAGAGGAGACATTTAATTAGAGGACACAAGACCTGAGGTTTTCTGACGGCTCTGTTATGAAGGCTCCATGCAGGAAGCTGACAGCAAGAATGGCCCCTAAGGGCCTGTGGTGCAGACCCATTTTACAGAAGATCATCAGGGTTGGCTCAGTAGTGCAGAACCTAAAAGAATGTTCGTTGCTCCAGAGCCCTGGGGACCGGTTTTTCCAAAAGGGGCAGGCCGTGGAGAACTGAGTGTGGGACCTGGGTCGGGGTCATGGGGCTCCTGGCTTCCCCTACATGTTGTTGCTGTCCTTGCACAGGCACATTCCTGCTGTTGTCTCCTGCTCAGCGGAGCCGAACGGCGCTCACTTCCTTGCTCCCTCGCTCCCTCTGCGTGCTGGCCGCCCCCACCCCCTCTTGGCTAGCATGGCCTGTGTTTGTTGTTGTAGCTCTGGCACCTGGCCAGGCCTGGCCGGGAGCCAGCCTTGTGGGTACAGTGTGTACAGTGAGTGCTGAGCCAAGTTTGTCATCATACACGATTAATTTTTTTTTCTAATCTGGTAGGGGTGGGGTGAAGGAGGAGGCAAGGAAAGCGTTCCTCTGACGCTTGCGAACAGCCCACGTAGAATTCTGCGGAGACGTTATTTATGAAAGGAGGACTCGCTCTCGCTTGTTTATCCCTCTCAGCTTTTCCCCCTTCCCTCCTCTCCTCCTGTTCATTTCCTTGTCCGAGGAAATCAGCCCGTATGAGATCAACAATGTGAGGTCTTATTTTCAGTGACTAGAATACTAAATTTACATTCCTAAATCAGTTTTCATTGTGTTGAAATTGACAATTTGTTTAATTAGAAGTTTGCCCTGTAGGAGGCCCTTCCTAGAGACAATTCTTTCTTTTTCTTTCTCTCTCTCTTTCTATTTTTTCCTTTTTTAAGACCCTAAATGGTAGTAGTGAGTGTTCAGTTTAATTGAAGTTTTTGTTTCAATTTGAGTGTGTTAACTAATCAAGTGTTTATGAGATATACCTGATGATAACAATAAGTTTAAATGAACAAACAATAACCTAACTCATTAACTAATGAGATTGATCTGACCAGGCCCCGTATTCTCACAGGCAAGTTTGAGGATCCGGGAGGGTTTGAGGGCTGGGAAAGAGGCTGGGGGCTGGAGGAGCGACCACCTCAGATGCTTTGCAAAACTGCCCCTTCTGGAGGAGCGTGAACCTTCGGTGCAGGGATGTGGCAGTGAGTAGGGGAGGCGTCCCAGCCCTTTTGTGTGCCAGGATCACTCTGAAGTCTCCCTCCCCACCCTTTGCTGCCCAGTCCCTTGTCGAAGCATTAGGGACATACTGCTGTCTCTTTGGCACACCTTGTTCTCACTTACCAGGTGATTCCTAGCTCTGGGATGTCCATGCAGAAACCACGGCCTCAGGCAGTGACTTGAGTTGGTTCTGGGATTTGCTAGTGTACAGTTTCCCATTGGGTAGAATTTCCCACAGCTTGGCTTCACATACTCGTGGATTATAAATGAGCACACCCAGAACTGCATGCCCCTATTTTTGACTTGGCTGTGTACTACTTAGAGGTTTGCATATTTCTGTGGCCTGCTCCTGTTCTGGGAGTGTCATTCAGTTTTGGAGCCAGCAGACGTTGACTGAGCACTAATT